AAAGAAACTTGGATTCAATGAAAGATCGTTAAAAACGTCTTAGTGAAAATGTAAACAAGTGGAGATGTGCATACATGGAAGCATACATGAATAAAAGGAGTGGAATGAGCATGACAGATGTTGAAAAAGAAGCTCATATAATTTATGAAGCTGGTGGTAGCAAGTTTACAGACTTGCATGTGTTTGAAGACGTCATGCGAAAGCATCCCAAATGGGAATTAAAATTAGATCGTGATTCACTCGTTCACGTCCTGAAGATGAAGTGAGTAATGAAGAAAGCCATGGCAGTTCCAAAAGATTAAAGACTACTGAAGATGGAGATTATTCAGTTCCCTCAAATCCAGAAACTCCAGTTAGTGATGGTTTTGCGATTCCCTGTCCCGAAGGTAGAGATAAGGCGAAAAAGAAAGGAAAAAAGGTAGCGTGACGATCTTCTTCCATTCCTGATGAGTTCACTGCAGAGATTCGTGCACTAAGACTTCCAAGAAATAACAAATATGATTTAATGACCAAAATATCGAACGATAAGATGGAGTTGGAACGCAAAAAAGAAGAAAGACAAATTAAGAAGATGAATATGAAGATGTTGAATACGTTGTTGGAGAAAGACCACTTATCGCCGGAAGATGAAGAGATGAAACGTCATTTAACAACAATTATATTTGGAAAGTCGCAGTAATTTCATTTGAAATGTTTGTAACTTGTTTAATTTATTTAGTACTGAATTATGTAATTTGAATTTTTAATTATGTTCGTAATTTTTTTTTAGTGTATTTTAAAATATTAATTTTTGAAATCATTATGATTTTATTATAGATTATTTAATTAATTTATCACAACTAAAACGATATCAAAAAATCTCTCGAGCGCGCGGGTGAAACTTGGTAAGGGACTCAGCTGCGGCGATGGCCTCATCGACCGTTTTCACGCCCCAACGTTGTAACTCTTGCTTTGCCCACATTTGTAGACCGTCAATGAAATAAAACAACTTGCCCTTTTCGGTCAAGGTTGGGATAAGAAGCATCAAGTTGTATATTTCTCCACGTACTCGCTAATCGTGCCTCGTTGCCTCAACTCCCTAAGATTCTTGCGGGCTTGGTACAACACATTCTCGGGGTAGAGTTGCCTCTTGAGCTTCCTCATGAAGTCATCCCATGACTCGATCCGACAAACACCCCTCTCGATGTCGGCATGCTTCTGACGCCACCATAACATTGCTTTATCGGAAAGGTAAAGAGAAGCAGTACGTACCCTGGTAGACTCATCTTTGAGTCCGATGCCTTTGAAATGTTGTTGCATGCTCCATAAGAAGTTGTCCACTTCCTTTGTGTCCCTCACATTATTGCACACGACCGGCTTCGATCACTCCATGTTTGGAGAGGACATCGGGTGACTAGCCTCTCCACTAGCAATCACCCGCTTGCACATTGCAAGGTCCTCGCGTATCACCTCGATGACTTTGTGCATCCCCTCGATGCTTGCTTGGAGGCCCTTCACAGGTTCCATCAGGTGACCCTTGACAAAGTCCTCCAGGTGATCCAAGCGATCCACTTCCGGCGTGCGCACCTTCAGTCCCTCATGGATCGTGCGCTTCATGGATTCCATCTCTTCCAAGACGTGCGTCTCCAGCGTCTGGAAGTTGAACTCGACCCGCTCGAGCTTCTCGCCCATCTCCCGAACAACTTGATCCAAGGCCGAGACCTCGCCGCAGGCGCGACGTTGGTCCCGACTCTTCTTGTCCTTGGTCGCGGTAGTGTGCTCCTATCCTCGGGCTTGCTCCTCGGTTACCCCAGACCCAGACGCCTCGTACTTCTTATCTCCGGCCATAGTCTACACGGTACCGAGCGTGGCTCTGATACCACTTATCACACCTTTGTTTCTCAAATGATGCGTGCGACCTTAAAAGAATTGCGCTCGTGCAAACTATCTAAGTCAGCCTCACCGTGCTCGGTGTGTGCAAGTGCTTTGGCTAGAGAATGTGGGAAAGTGAGTTGAAGGGAAAATGTATGTACTACTATTCATACATATTTGGTACAAGAGAGCTTGGTTGTTGCTTGGATGATTTGCAAATGAGGGGGCCTCACCTATTTATAGGCACCACCTCCTCTAAAGAACCCTCTAGGACCTACAAGGGTCTTGTGCCTTCTAGACCCTTCTACAAGACTCCTACTTCATACACACAAGTCCTAGAACCTTCTACATGGCTCTAGATCCTTCATGTCCCTACTACAAGTATCTATACAACTTTAGTACCTTCTAGAATCTCCTAGACAAAACTAGACTCATCTATGTACAAGATATAGGTATGGCACGACCTAAGTCGTTAAAGAACGGGTAGGCCCCGTGTGCGCGCGCGGGCTGCCTGTGTGTACGCCCTTTCTGCGCGCGTTCGACACTGCTCGGGTCTCTTCGGGCCCGGGCGTGCGGAACAAATGCCCTCGCATGTAGATCCCGCAGGTGCGCTGCTTCCATGTATGGGCCTACTCGGGTCTGGAGGAGCGAGGCGTAATAGGGCACTACACTGTAAGCCGACGGACCTGCGACTCAGGGACAGAAGGTCAGTAGACTTGTTGGTGACCTACCTATGAAGAATAAAAATACAAGGTACTAAATCTACATACGAGGACCTATAGGCAACGGGTAAGGCGATTTTTCGGGACATACGCGCGAGAGATCTATCGATAAGGAATGAACCTACTGACAATTAATATAGGTAACTATAGATAAGGATTGGTGGATAGCATACAAACAATAGACCTGTGTGTTATGGAGTTGATAGACCAATTATTTAGATACACGTGAGGAATAATTTAAAATTTACAAGCAACAGAATAACCTTCTGGCGGTCCGAGCAGACCTTCGGGCAGCTGGGTAAGACAAGGCTTACCAAGAAGCCAATAGTTCACTATACATAGGTATGAGTATGAAGGGCAAAAAGATTATTACCTACACTTTATATACAACTTTCTATAGTCTTTACTAACTTGATCGTTGGAGATTATACGCCGGGAATATATCCCGACGTATTTTTCAGATCTTCGAGGAACAAAACGGTTTAAAGACAGCATGAGACCGAGGTGCAATATGACATCAGATAACTTCTGTTCGAATCTATATATATATATATATATATTAAGAATTACTATTTTTTCAAAATGGTAAGTCAAAT